TGAAGATACCTCGTCAAATGAAAGAGTTTTCCATACAAGCACTTGATTCCGATTGTTCAGTTTGTATGGCAGCTATATGCTATAGTGATCCGATATCGGCGGTTCCGACAAATGAGCAGCTTCTTTGTGAGAAAAGTACAGGTGCAAAATTTCAGATCGATATCTCAAAAACTGAGGGACTAGTTCGCGTATATACAGACGGACGGACAGACAGACGGACATGGCTAAATCAACTCAGCTCGTCACGGTGATCATTTATATATATACTTTATATGGTCTCCGACGTTTCCTTCTGGGTGTTACAAACTTCGTGGCAAAATTCATATAATATAATTCAGGGTATAAAAAACAGCAACTTCTCAATAATCTGATTTTTTCAAAAAACTCAACACACCCCTACTACAACATGTGTGAGGATTTTAGCAATTCTATCTTCATTTATTTGCCTTAACTAAACTCACTGTGTGTACATTGTATAAGGTTATAGAAGCTGCTTCTACAAATTTTTGGAAGTCGTAACTGTAGTTGGCGTTAGTGGTTACTTCTCGATTTGCTTCACCAAAAACTCAGCAAAAAAATTATAAAAAAATTTAATCTTGAAATATAAACAATAATTATAAACCTATTGAGTCTTAAGATTAGTGGAAATAACAAATTGTTATCTTGGCTGTCATTTAAAAGCAAATTAATCGATATTCTGCCATTATTTTTATAAGTATTTCTGAAAGAAAAATAGCGATAAACCTATGGAGTATTACAGAAAAGTGTGCATGAAAAATCAACTAACATGATATTTAGAACCAAATTAATGAAATTTCTGCCACTATTTTAATCAATATTTCTCAAAGCCATTCAACTACTTCATTGCAATGCAACTGCAAGATGTGGCTCGCTTCGTTCTGCCTTGCAAAACTTGTGCGCAGATGTGCTACTCTACCAATGTTCCTTAGCAAGCCAAGCAAAGCAGTTAGACAGGTCTGTTGAGCACAGCGCATACTTGTAAAGTCAACTAAGTGCATAAGTAAAGTTTATATGAAGGCTGTGTAGTCACTTAACTGGGCACTTAGTCAGCCTGATAACCAGTTAGACAGCGTGCCACTACGTTGTAGCTAGCAAGGCAATCAGCAACCAGTTAGTTAGCCGGTTTTGAGCGCGACACCACGCCGCTGCCGACACAAAACACGTCACAACAACAAAGTTTGAAGTATTTCGGTGTAGGTAACTGCAGCTAATGATTTATTAGCACATATTATGGCTGTATGGGCCGGCTACTAGCTGTTTTGAGCGCGCTTAGACCTTACGAAATAACAGAACGTAATGTAGGTACACACACAATATGTAATATATTATTTATACTCAGTTATACGCTCAGCATGACTTACAGTATAGATTAGACTTATAGTATAGTTTAGATTGGGGCAAACCAGTCATGTTACGTATACTTATGTGTGTCGTCGATATTGCCCGTTTCGGCGGCGCGCTTGTACTCGTTTGCTGTTGTCATTTTTAAAACTGTCGCATTGTTGTTGCCACCGAAGTCGTTGCTGTGCTACGTTTCGTCGCGTACGCTGTTGTCGTTCTCGTTCTCGAATGAAAACAAGTTTAATGACGACGTCAACGACGAATATGTTCTTAGTACATATTTTGCGTATACCTATAGTAGATATGTACATATATCGTAAAGTCGTGCAAAAAGCAGCGACAGCACTTGAGCTGAAGCAAAGTGTATGCTAAATAACGTAGAAGAAAAAAATAAAAATACGCGCCGAAGAAACAGCAAATGAAAACAAAAACGAATGTGTAACTCGTTTGAGCGCAGCAGGGGCAGAAATTTAGCGTGCGGAGCCGCAAACGCGGCAAGCGGATATACAAATTTAACTATATGCAGTTGTAGACGATATATAATGGATAGAAATATATATAGATATACTATAACGACGTTGGGGACGAAATTTTGCACGATACGTTGGCGATTTGCCAGCGAAACGAAACGATTTGGAATTCGTTTAAGAAAATCGAGCGCAAAAGTGAGGCGGTAGAACAAAAATATACATATAAATGTATGCATGTACCTATGTATGCCGCTAGCTGCCGAGTATCAGTCGATGTTGACGTTGCGTAGCACACTAATAATGATGATGATGACGTTGAGAGGCATATGATGAGCATGAGGAAATGACGAGGTCGATGAGGAAGTTGGCGTACAAAGCATATGCTTTGTATGTAACTACGCGCATGTGGCGTATAATATTATATATGTGAGATAAAGCGCTCTGTCGTTTTATGAATTACATATTATATATGCGGTTTGTTGCTGCTGTCGTCGCGCGTTGTTGCATGTTTGGAGGCAATTGCATTGGAACACGTTGCTGCGCATGACACTTTCGACGCGAAAAGTCAGCAAAAGGGAATGCAACGTAACAGCACATATGGTGAATACATATAGATATGTATGTATGTACATAAGCAAGCTGGACTTTTAATTATTTACATACAGACATATTGCTACAAGTTTAAAGTCGTGCATGGTTGCATGCGCGCCTATATACCAACAAAAGTATATAAGCTTTATATGCTATAGTTACATACATAAATACATATATATATTATTTTTCTCTACACCTAACTGCCCTGGGCCATTTGCCAATTGCACGTTTTGCCAATTGCTCGCTCGCTTGGTAACCATTTCTCTGGCATGCACTGCTGACAACGCAGACGCAATGCCGATATCTCGTGCTCGACAAAGAAGTGTAGATACACAACATGCTGTTTGGGGTAACCTCGTTATAATTGTGTAGTGACAAAGGCAAAGCTCGTACGCCTGACACCACCACCAACACCCTCTTGCGACACACGCAAAGCAACCCCAAAATATATTATACAAAACATGTCATTGCGTTGTGTGTAGCGACGCATCAATTGACTGACCCACCACGTTCAAGAAAAGGCAATAAGAAGTTAAAAAAACAACACTGTTATACACAACTGAATTCTTGTACTATAGAGGCAGGGGTGGTGTGCCCCCTCACTACTACATAAATAAACGACCTGGCTGCCTACTAGGCTGGCACATACGCGCAGCGCGTATAAGTCTTCTATGCATGTGTTACATAGTATAGATACAATAAAGAAAGTAAAAAGTCGGAATTGGCATGAAAATGTACAAAAACAAAAATAAACAGAAACAAAATTTGAAGAATTTTCCATTGTAGATACACACGAATTTGACGCGTCAGGCCGTTTGCGTAGTAGCGCCCAGCCCAGTAGTGGGTGGCGCGCGAGGGTGCCAGGTGTACATAAATGCAGTTATATATACATTCGTGCATATATGTATATGTATTATTAAGGCTGTATGTGTGTGTATATGTAGTGCCAAATGATTTTAGTTATTGTTGTAACTACAAAATGCTGGCTGGCGTTTAGTGTAAATTAATAAGAGTTTAATTGCAACATTTTTTCGGAGAACCTACATTTTACATTAAGTAAAAATGCGGGATATATTTAATATTTATCAAAACTTATCAAATACTTAATTAAACTCATCAGAGATTGTTGTCGAATTCAACTCTTTGCTTATCGATTTTCGATGAATTGCTAACATGTTGTTTAGAGGTAGCGGTTTTTAACGATGAACTAAATGAAAGTGACAACATTGCGATTTTTGCAATAGAAATAATAATGCATTAAATATTGAATTAACACTTATCTAATTTTTTTTATTTAATAATCCCGAAAATCTAAAGATATCCCAAATATCGGATAGAAAATCTATAATAAAAATGCTTATTCCAAAAATCGGACTAAGCCCTTATATATGTATTATTTAACACCTAAAAATATACCATATTGAAGACGATGCTTGTGAGCAAGAGTTTAGAGTTACAACTACTTTTTAAGGATGTACATATATAAAACCGCTATCATATATTGACATCTGTCAAATTCTGACCATTTTTACTGTTATAAAATTCCTACTATGTGACTCAGGCATTGAAAAGTGCCAAATTTAGACCAATATGCGAACTTTTTACCGTTAAAATTTGATTTTTTTCTTTATCTTACATTTATTTCAATTTCGCTGCCGTTAATGTCACAAGGCACATTTCTAATCTAATCAGTAGTGCCTCTATCACACCTACGTATATGTTTGCCTATAGTTAATTTTACTTATCAGTTAGTGTAGAGTTCAAAATCCAGTATAACTGCAAACGACTGAGTAAGGCAAATACCTCAATAAAGAATTATAAACACTAACCGAGTGTGACTTCACTGGATTAAGATTTATTTACCAGCAAATTATAGTAAAATGTTGAGTAAGCATTATAAAAGAAAATTATTTTAATGCAGCAACGAACTTTTATTGACACTTCAAGCAGTTTTTCCAGCGCTCACTTGTTATCAGCTATGCGCCTTATCTAAGCGCAAGGTCTTATCAATACTTTGTTTTATCAGCACTTTCTCTTATCAAGGCATCTAATCTTATCAGTGAACCCACCATCCGCTTCTTATCAATTATTCAAATATTAAATGCTTTGAAACGGAAATTTGTTTATGTGATGGGTAAATATTTGAGAAAAGAATGAAATTCCTTCATTTAAAATTTATTTCAAAAATGCAGATATTTATGTAGTCTACTAAGGGTTAACGCGTGCATTTCGTAGAAAACCTTTTCGTTTAATTTTACAAAAAAAAAAGAAAACAAAAACTAATACCGCTAATAAAAAAAACACACTGACACTAATGATTGACAACTGCTGATGAAATTATGATACAATGACAGATTTACAACACAAAAGACCATATGACGTTTGACATTTCAGAAGAATGACTTGTTAGCTGGCAACTCTTGATGCCATTTATGCGCGTTTTTTTTTGTAAAATTAGCCACCAACAACAACAACTTAGTGTGTAGACGCCAATGTATGTTTTGATGAGTATGTTACAAATGCGCTTAAAACTATACTAAATTCAATGATATACACGTTCACTTGTCAACTTACCACCTGGCTTGAAGGAGGACGCGTCAAAAGATGGCGCACGCACTGGCTGATGTTTGTCCCGCAAATTGGCTTGTCTATCGGGTACAAAAGAAACGGCCGCCGGCAATGAATCGCCGCGTGTCAGCGGTGGACGTGGTAAATTGGGATCTTCAATAGCGTTGCGCTTCATCGGATTCGGGCCGTTACCGGCGCCACCGCCGCCGCCACCACCGCCATCACCGCCATGTGTATGATCATCATCCTCGGATGGTGGACGCTTCAAATTCACCGATAACGCTGGCGGTACCGGACCCACCACGCCAACATTTGATGCTACTGCAGCGGCTGCGGCTGCAGCCACAGCACGATTTGTCATCGACATATGATGCGGTGTCATATGTGAGATGCGCACTGGGCGTACACTGGCGTCATGCGCCTCCATTTTCACTGGGAAATCCATCATACCGGCGGTTTGTGGTGGTGGTGGCCCAATGCGCTGTGTCGCATAGCCGTGATGATGTTGCTGCTGCTGTTGTGGCCCAACAACGCCAACACCGACGCCCACATTGATAGGCGCGCCGCCAGCGTTGCGATGTTGCGCTTGTGCAGCCGCTACAGCCGCCTGCTGCTGTTGTTGTGCTTGCTGTTGCTGCTGTGCGACCACTTCACCGTTCTCATGACTGCGTTTAGCCGCCTGATGCAGACGTTTCATTTGACGCGCGGCATCCAGCACCAGTTCGATGCGATCGGCGCCCTCATAGTTGACACAACCGCGGCACACCGACTCGGAAAAATCATTGATCATGGCCCAGGGCATGCGTGGCAGATCGCATAGATAGCAATGCTGGCGTTTCGTTTGTAGTGACATATTGCTGGAAAAGCGCGCAGCGTTGTAGGTATGAAGATGGCGCTGCTGCTGTTGCTGCGCTTGATGTTGGTGGTTGATTGGCCCTGATATATTGTGGGTTGTTGCACTATGCGTTGTAGGTGTTGCGCGCGCACTTGGAGCACGCTTTTTAACTGGGGCGTACGAAATGGCAACTGGTTTTTTATGTCACGTTTGTTGATTGTTTTGTTTTTCTTGCACAAAATTCGCTTTTGTAGGTATTTAGCGGTGGCGCAAACCTGCTGTACGACCTGTTTGCAACAATAAGCTCACCCGGTTACTACGCGCACAGCTGCAACGTGAGAAAGCAGTGTAGTCGACGTATATGCCTGTTTTGCAACTTGTTTGTTGCTGTTATTTATATGTAAGTATGTATGTATATAAATATAAAAATCGTTTAAGCGCTTGCAATACTGTGTGCTACAACTTGTCGCGTTAACTCTGAGAGGAACTGCGTTTTGTTTGTTGTTTTTGTTTTCGAAGCGCGTTTCAAAGTGCAATTTGTAAAAAACTTATAAACAGTGAAACACACTTGACACTTATCGTCTCAAAATGGGTGAGCTTTCGCGCACGCGACGTTCCCGACACAAATTCAATAAAACTGTTGTTGACAACTGCTGTTTGCCGACTTTGTCAGCCGCAGTTCACGCGGCAATTGTGGATTTTCCATTTTTATTTTGCACTTGCTGTTTATGCTTATTTGCGCGTCGCTTTGTTTATTTTTCGCTGACTTGTCCGTGTGTTTTTATTTTATTTTATTTTTTTCGTTTTCTTACCGCTTATTTAATAGCGCTGCGCTATTTTTGGCCGTTGCTTGTTTTTAATACTTGTTTACACAACACTTTTTGTGTTTCTTTTTCCTATAAAAGAAAATAAGCAAAGAATTAATAAATGTTGTGCACATATAGAATTGGCTGAGCGCGCAACAAATTGCAAAAAATATGAATAGTTTGTGTACATACTATATAATTAATTATGAGCAAATTCAATGCGCTTTCGCCTGTTTGAAAGTGAAATATATGGTTTCTTTCGAGCGACTCTACCATGATATCCAGCTTTTCGTAAAATTTTTCTAGCAGTTTCGGCACTAATTGTTTTTTTAATGGTTATATTTACGTTTTCAATAATCTTTGTGGACGTAATTCGAGGGTTAACTTTCACCATATTTATTATTTTCCGTTCTTCCCGGGCTGATAATATTTTCGGACGGCCAGATCGCGGTTTTGACGTTAAAATTCCGGTTTTTTTAAAATTGTTTACGACGCGCTGGACAGCAGAATACGTTCTTCCAATAGCTTGCCCAATTTTTCTGAAACTTTCGCCATCTTTCCACAACTTAATGATAATTTTTCTTTCCGACAGATTAATTTCTTTTCCTTTGGTGTCCATTTTTTTTAAATATTATTAAAACGCGTCACGCGCTCTTTAAACGACTAATTATATTAAAACACAATAGAATCTACGCAAAAAGTACGAACAAATGCATGAGAAGTAACGCTATTGCCAATTCAAGCTAACTGAACGCAGACTTAATGGTGCCTATGTGTACTTGTTCTTACACTAAAATCCCGTTATCACAAAAATTAAATTAAAAGAGTAATATACATTTTTGTTTTTGCATTTTGAACTTAAGAATATAAAGAAGAAATACATGCAGAAAATTTGAACTGAATTGCCTATTTACATTGTGTTTTTACTTCACTTAAAAAATGTGTCGGATGAACGCAGACTTTATTGGCTATGTGTATATTTTTAACAGCGCGCAAAATCAATTCAGTTTTTTGCACTCTACATCAAAGCTGTCAAACACTACGATAACAGTTGCGGCGCGTTTACCGTTTTATTCAATTTTTTTTGAACGTGCTCAGTAGCGCTCAGTAGCGCTAGTTCTAAGTCTTGTTTATGATTTTATATATGTATGTATGACAAAAGTCCTTGGCAAAAAAAAAAAAGGCCGTTAATTTCACTGGTGCTTCCTCTTCTACTTCTGCTTGCACGCTGTATTTGTATGTATACTCGTGAAATGGAAAAAATCTATTGATTTGCACGCGCGCGTTTACAATTATTGATTCAATGCCGCCGCCGTCGCGTTGCTACCGCGCGCTTACATTGCCACTACTACTGCGGCAGCTTTATCAACTCACACTTTACGCCAATTAGATGTGCTACAACAAAAAACGCGCTGAGCAAACATGCGCGCACCTTCATACACACATACATATGTATCTACATGCCAACATAGAAGTATATGTATAACTTTAAAAATATGTTTGTATGCATATAAACGCAAGAGTGAGCGACCGCCGCGTTCAGTAGCGTAGAAACGCTTTAGCTCAGCACGTACGCGCGGTAGCAACGCTAACAAATTTTATTTCCTAAATGGCGCAGCGTATAGACACGAAATTTTTCGCACTTTACATGTACTTATATGCGCTTACATATGTATATAAAAGTACATGTCATTTATAAGCGCATGTAATTATATACGCCTGCTGCGGTATATGGCGACGCGCGCGAGCGTTTCAAATAGTTCAAATGCGCGCACGTCGCAAAGTGCAGGTCACTCGGCGTACATATGCACGCAAATACAACAAACTAGCCGTTCATATATACGCACACACACTACTAAACGCGCATTTAATTATTATATATACATATATGTATATTTTGTTCTCACACTCGTTATTTTTGCACTATTTCCAAAGCGATGACTGCTAATTTATTAGTATTATGAAAACGCTTTGAAATTGCTTTACGCTAATAAATTATCTGAAAATTTCACACCTTTTTTTTTAAACAAAATGTAACTAAATTTCTTTAGACAAACATACAGTTGTACATATGTGTGTACACTTCACTTTATTTGGTATATATACATACGTACATATATACACATTTAACTCTGGCATTCACACGCGCTCACTAAAACGGTTCTGCTCGTCTGCGTTTGTCCGGCTTATTTGCTCGCTTGCATGCGTCTTCCTCGAATGCCGTCTGCGAAATAACAAATTATTCCAATTGAATGTCGGAAAAATGTATCCGTTGGCTGGTTAGCTACTGAGCTGGCGTGTATGTATACGGTAATGTGCATGGCTGACTCGCTCTGGCTGACTGATTTGTATACTCACGAACTTTGAGTCAGTAGGTATGCGATACAGTGGGCGCGTATTGTTGAACTTCATTGTTAGACTTTGGAGGGGGATTTCAAACCACGTAGAACTAAGTTGATGACAGGCGCGCGAGGGAACTCTAGCAAGCCCGTGACTTCAGTATCTGCGTGCCTGTATGCACATATATTCGTGGCTTACATCATTACCATATCTTTTCTACTATTATTAGTCTCGGTGTTATATAAAAACTTTAAAACCTTTGGTCTCATGGATTTACATGAGAAGTCTTTTTTGTTTTGCTCCACACTTTAGCGCTCTCAATACCTCAATTCCATTATTTCTGATTAGTATTTTTTCAAAGTATTCTTTCTTCTAGAGACATTACAACAATTCGATTATTAATCTAATATTCTTTCCTTCCCGAGGTATAAATTAATATTAGTGGGTTTTTTTTGGGGATTTATTGGATCTATAACTATAAGCGTGTGTTTTTTCTTTAAAATTTTAACATTTATTATAGAAAACAACAGCATTATTCAACGCATTGTCTATTCGACAATTTGTGGAATCCATCACAAAAGAACAGCGCCGATTTTGGGGGTCAGTAATGAATCAAAATAATTTTTGATATCCTGTGCTGCTCTGAATCATTTCAGTGGGGGTATTCTGCAACCTCCTAAACAAATAGCAGTCAGAAGGGGCAAGGTCTGGACTATAATGTGGCTGAAGCAAAACTACCCAGCCGCTGTTTCCCAAATATTTTTTCAACAGCGATGTCATAATGGAAAATTATTGACTATTTTTCATTGGTCGTTGTTAGTCGCGTTCTCCATTAATGGTTTCACTTGGTTCTCATAGCTCAAAATATAGTTTAAATAGCTTAAATATATCCTTCTGATCTTCCTACCAAATACTGAGCATTACCTTGGCGTTATGGATATTTGACTTTACCGTTGATTTGGCTAGCTGGTCAGCTTTCAGATATGATTTGTTGCGTTTAGGGTTGTCGTAATGAAACCTTTTGTTGTCACCAGCCATCTTTCGTTGCAAAAACGACTTCTTTTTGTAGCGTTCAAGCAGCGAATGCTTCACGAAAAATATTCTTTTAACGTCACTTGGCTTCAATTCATATGGCACCCGATTTCCATGCTTTTGAAGGTATCAGGTTGTTTTTAAAGTTTATGAAATGACGGCTTGAGTTACTCTCAAAGATTATGCGAGCTTTTCTTGTGTGTGGCAACAATCTTCATGCAGTAATGCTTCCAATTACTCATCTTCAAATTTTTTTGGCCACCCAGCACGTTCGGATTGCCAACACTTCAAGACAATTCGGAGAATACGTATATATTCTCTCTCCTCAAAAGTTCAAACGCAGGGTCTCTTTAAATTTTTTTGCAGCCTATGTTATGCGATCTCTACCACTGTGCCTTACTCGTTCACAGCGCGCTCATATACGTGGTGTACTATCGAGCTATTAGCTGCTCCCTGTACACCGTCGTCTTCCCTAGATTTTACATATGAACAATTTCGTCGGCATTGTTCACGTTGCACGACGTGTTTCGACGACGTAGCGCTCAAGATGTGCATTGTATGTACTTATATTTAGATGTTTCATACACATGTGTGTGTGTGTGTGTGTGTGCCTGCTAAACGAAATTCAAAGTATACACACTAAATAGCAACAACAGCAAACATCAGCGCATAGCAAGAAGGCAAACACACAACAAACAGCCCCAAAGGAAAGCAAAAACAATTAGAACGTTAGCGTTGGAGCTGTGTTAAAACAAAAATGTGAGACAGCAGAGTCAAGAAACCGAAGAGTCAGTATATATACATACAAGCATACATATATATATATATATATATATATACACAGCAGATAGAGCGGCCTCAATATGTAGCGCAAAGACGAAATGATAACAACAACACCGACAGTTGCTCGGCAACTATTTTATATATGTATCACAAGTTGCCAACGGCCTACTCTTGGCCTCTTTCGCCACCAAAGCGCTCCACACACACACACACACACATGCAGTTTTTCGCTGCCGCTTTATCGCATCGCATTTCGTCTTATCTCGTTGCATTCTCTCGTTCATTTCAAGAGTACACATTTTGTTTACTTACGCTAAGCTCTGTTGTTTTTATTGTGTTTGTTTGTAGAAGTCTACTAGCACTGTATTCTAGCAGCAATCGATTGAGCCAAAGCAGCAACTATTGCTGTGGTAGGGGAGAGTGGAGACGCGTAAGCAGAACCGTTGAGCATTTTTGTGAATCACTTGTGTGCGTATGTATGTACATATGTGTATGTTTATACCAGACTCCGAACCAACCAGCCCACCACTCCTCTTTCACGTCTTCATAAAATGCTGATACAGTGCCTCTTGTGGCTGTATGCCATTCGTGGTAAATATCTAAATATCGCTCGCTGTGAATTCCAATCGGCTGATTGTGTTTGTGTGTGTGTGTTGTAAGGCTGTTCGGCAGCTGTAACGCTCTCTTGTGGTTTGTATTGTTGTGTGGCAGCTTGCGCATGGTCGCGTTTCTATTTCAGATACTTTTCCAAGTACAGTTCTCATCGCACTGTGGTATCGTGTTGGAGTTTCGTTGCTAATAATTACAGTGTATGCGATTAACTGTTGTTATAGAAGCAACTCGAAGTGCTATGCTGTCACGCGAAATTGAATTTAGGGCTCTGTTTGTCACATAATATTAGCCTTTAGTGACACAAAACCCCAGCTAATATCCCGCAATCCAAAAGCTTTTAAGGAAGCTTTTCATAAGGACATACCACAGTTACCTTAAAGTAGCTATGTAAAACTGATTAAGGCTTATCCCGTATCTTTGACATTAATGGACAAAAAGTCGTAGTTAAAGTTGCACTTTCGACTTTTTCGTCAATCCAAAAGCTTTTAAATAAGCTTTTCATAACAGCATTCCACAGCTACTTTAAAGTAGCTATGTAAAACTGAATTTGGGGTTTTCGACTTTTTCGTAAATCCAAAAACTTTTAGGAAAGCTTTTCATAAGGACATTACACAACTAGCTTTGAATAACAATGTAAAATTGAATTTGGGGCTCGGCTTATTCCGTATCTTTGACATTTATGCACAGAAACTCGTAGTTGAAGTTCTACTTTCGACTTTTTCGCCAATCCAAAAGCTTTTAAAGAAGCAGATGGCTTTTTTTATAGATTTTTTAATAACCGAAATAAACTCGGAAGCGCTACATTCTATAACAACTGTTCTCTATAATTTTTTAGATGTTATGCATCTAAGTAATATTCCGGCGCGACGCACTGTGCCGGCACTGCGCTCAATTGTGCTGCTCAAACGATGGTGGCATGCGCATTCACCACATGGTGACGTCACAAGTTGTGTGTGTTTAGCGCTTGAGAAACCAGTTAGGGCAAAACCGGCTTCAGCAACACCACAGCGCAGAATAACAGTCAAGTTCAGCTTGATTATTGTTTTATCGATTGGGAGTGCGGATGAGAGCGCATTACGAGCATAAACGACAACAGCAATTGCAAATGCGCATTTGTGTGGTGTGAAAACCAGTTTCCGCAGCCAGTTTTGTGACGTCACTGGGTGAAGAGTGACGGAGGGCAGGCGTAGGCAACTATTGTAAAAATGGTTGGGTGGGCGCGCAGGTATGCGTGTTTGGTCACAAGAAAAACTAACAAAAAAAAAATAATATACACAAAAACAACAAATACAACTGTATGAAAATGTTTTTGGCGATGACGATGGCAAATAGTTGATTCAAAATGATGCTGGGAAGCGAGCTGGTTTTCGTATGCGCGCGCACTTTCATATTTGTTAAGCTATTGGGGCGCGTATGTATGTAAATGCATGTATGTATGTGTGTTTAACAGCGCCAGCTGGCGTGTAGCTATGGTATATAGGTAAATATACATATGTATGTATACGTAGTATATGAGGCGCGGCGCGTCATAATCGCTTTTGGAGCTATTTTCAAATCTTTTTTTATTTATATGTATGTTTGTATGCATATATATGTATATGTACATATATATTTATGTATATGATTGTATCTATGTGCATATGCGCCTGTATATGTAGCAAGCCAATGAACGTTTGACTGGACACGAATGCGAACGGTGCAGAAATCGATAAAAGTGTGTGGAACTGAAAAGAAAACAATAAACAAAACATTAAAAAATAATTCTAAGCACAAGATGGAAGTGGAGAGAGCGACTGTGAGCAATGGAATGAAGAGCGCGTTGTTGCAGGCGCTTACAAGCAGCCGTTAAATAAAGTAACGATACAAATGATGTCAAGCGGAAAAGGAGGCGTGTTGCGGCAAGGAAATGCTAGCGGCAAGTGGCTAAGCGTAAAAATATGTTTTCTGATTGGAATTGAAAGCAACTTCGGCGTGATTTTCTTTACTATTTGCCACACACACAGGTTTCAATGACCACCAGCGTTCGGATAATCATTAAAAATATGATTTCATATGTGTATATACATACATACATTAATGTATACACATACATATATACATATCACATATGTATGTATATACATATGTATCGACTTTGTGTATCCAAGCGCCAATAATGATGTTTTGGTGATAATTTACAACCGCAATCGAAAATGCAAAGCCAATGAGCGCAAATATAAATAGCGATAATTAAAAAAATTAGTAAGTGCATGTGCTTTTTAGCAATAAACACTAAATTTTTTATTGAATTTTCATTTAAAAATGGTGAAAAAATGGAAAATAGTTTACATCGGCTGTACCGCCGCTGCCAAACCCTTCACACTGCTTATAACATGTAAGGGTATAAAGCGACCTTGATTTTGATGAGTCAGTTTCAATGACAGCTATAGGCTAGTGTGGCTCAAAAACAGCAATTTATTGATCAACTAAAACTTTCAACCACCTTAACGTGCTAATTATTGTTGACAACTAACATAAATCCCACTGGCTTGTAGGGTCAATGACAAAGTGCTTTCCAAACAGTTTTAGATTCACTAAAATGTCGAGTGACCTTGGCATGTTAATTGTTACAAACAAACCTTCATTAAATGACACCTGCTTTTATTACTTGAAATTCCCCAAAATTCGCACGATCGAACAAATTAACACTAACAACACCTCTGAGCACCACAAATACAGCGTCAAGCAATAGGCATGTGTGATATGATTTTGACAGCTCGTGGCGGCCATGTTTAGGTATTTGTTTCAAATTGTCAAATGTCAGTGTGTTCAGTAAGGTTTGCCATTTCATTATTTCACTTTGCACCTTGGTATAACGCTTGAAAATTGTTCAAGATTATTACGCAAATTCACTTTCTCCGGAAAATCCGGAAAACCGAAAAATCATCTTCTCAG